GTAGCAGCGCCCGAAGAGTGGTAATCTTCGGGGTCGGGGCGAAGGTCTGAAAGAAATCAACCCCCTCGCGCTGACTGAAGCCTCTGGCCACGTAGCGCGCGTTGAAGACAGGCGGCTCTCCAGGCGGGCGCTTCACCTTGAAGAGCCACCGACCATCGACTACGTTCACCCCAGGCGGGGGAACTGCGTCGACGTAAGTGCCGGTGGACCTCCAAGATGCCATCTCTTGCTCCATGGCAGCTATCCACTGAGAGGCCCAAGGTCCTGAGGTGGCCTCAGTGTAGGTGCGAGGAGTCGGGATGTCGAAAGCGTCTGGGTCACCCCCAGGGACTGACAGCATGGAGCAGAGATGGGGAGCAGCCTCGGAAAGGAAAGCGAGCTCGTACTGCCTGTCCTCTAGGACGTCACTGCCAAGGCCAGGAGCAACCCCGACGGACGGAGGATGGGCAGGGTCAGAGACCAGAGCGGTAGCGTAGTCAAGGCGGTGGGTAGAGGCAAAGTCAACGACAGCAGCGACAAGCGCGTCAAGGCGCGAGACAGGAACAGAAGGGTCGGTAACAAGAGAGAGAAGAACCCGAGGAACAAGGGGACGAGCGGCACGAAGGTAGTCAGAGAGCGGAGGAGGTGCAACAGCAAGCGACGAGGGAGGAGTAACGGGAGGAGGGGAGGATGAGACGAGTGGAAACGGAGCAACATAGGGTGGGAGCGCAGGACAGGAGAGGCGGGACGGGCACGCGAGGGACGACGAGACCAAACGTGGGATAGAGGTGTAGGGTCAGGAGACAGCGGAGGGGACACAAGAGGGGAACGAGGAGGAAAACGGGCCGGAGATGAGTCCGGCGGTGGGAACACAGGGCCGTAGACAGGAAGACACCGCAGGCGGTGGGGGAGACACTGGCGAGCGGTCAGGGGAGGGAAGGCCGAGCAGGGCGAAGAGTGGAGACCGGCGGCGATGGCTGCTGCGACGGCTGGGCCGTGACCCTCGGACCAGCAGAACTCTCAACGGCAGCACCCCCAGAACCTACACCTCCAGAGTGAGAACCCTCTCCAGCACCAGCGGCACCCCCAGGCCCGCCGGGACAATCCACACCAGGAGTCGCAGGACGAACACCCTCCTCAACGACAGCACCCCCAGAGGCCAAGAGCGGCGGCGGCAGCGGCAACGACGGCGGCGGCGGCGGCGGCAGCAGCAGCGACGGCTGCGGCGGTGGCAGCGGCAGCGACGGCTGCGGCGGTGGCAGCGGCAGCGACGGCGGCGGCGGCGGCAGCGGCGGTGGCGACGGCGGCGGAGTCAGCGACTGCGACAGGGGAGGCAGAGACACCGGGGAAGGGGGACTTGGCAAGGACGGGGCGGGGGTGCCACCAGAGTCAGCAGACTCCTCAACGGGGACAATCGATGGGAGGGGAGTGACGAGAGACACACCATACGCGGCAGGACGAGGCGGGGGAGGAGGAGGGGGGACCGGGGGAGAGGGAGCAAGGAACAGGGGCGGGGAAACCGGGAGACCTTGGTGAGGGAAGCGGCGGTAGAAGGAGACAGACTCGTCAAAGGTGACGTCACGAGAGTGGAGGAAGCGGTGGGACGGCAGGTGGTAGAAGAGCCAGTCAAACGAGTCCAGGGGGAAACCAAGGAAGACACAGGGGACCGTGCGGGCAGTGAGCTTGTCTGTGCCAGAGGCACGAACGTGAGCAAGGCAGCCCCAGACGTGGAACGCAGACGCGTCACCGGGGGACCCGATCCAAAGGAGGGTCGGCGAAACCTGCGGCCGCTGGGAGCGGGGCCACAGGTTAAGCTCAGCAACCCCATTCTGCTGTGGTGAGTCCGGCAAGGTGTACGACTGGATGATGCCCTCCGCACGACAGAACTGTCCAAGCCGACCAGAGGCGAACTCGTCGCCACGGTTAGAATGGAGACACAACACGGGGAGACCGCGGTGAAGACGCGCAGCCACAACCCACGGGAGAAGAACGTCGGGCACGTCGGCCTTCCGCTCCAGGGGAAACACCGTGGTGTAGCACGTGTAGTCATCGACGAGAACAAGGAAGTAGCGCTCACCTCGCGGTCCAGGGACGGGGGCAGAGCCCCAAACGTCTAGGTGCAGGGTCTGAAGGGGGGCAGTAGCAGGGCGCAGCGAGGAGGAGTGAGGAGCACGGCGGAGCCGGCCCTCGACGCAAGGCGTGCACGGTGGCGCAGTCGAGGGAGGAAGGGCAGGGAGCGACGCGGGGAGACCTAAGACAAGACTGTGCTGGGACATGTGACGCAGACGTGGGAGAGCAGGGTGACCTAGGCGGTGGTGCCAGAGAAGGGACGGGTGAGTGAGGGACCGACACGAACAAGCGGCAGCGACCTGGGAGGACGCACCAACCGGGGGGGAAGCGGTGTCGAGGGTAAACAGACCGGACAGCGGGTCCCGGGGGAACGTCGCAAGGGGGGAACCTGAGACAGCCTCAGAACAGACAACGAACCGCTCGTGCCCGGGGAACGTGGTGGTGACGCTGAGGTCCTGGAGACAGCCGACACTAACCAGGTTCATCGAGAACGAGGGAATGTGGAGGCATGAAAGGGAGCCCAAGGGAACTGCTGGGCAGGGAAGGGACGTAGAACTGCGAGCGACGACAGGACCCGCACAGGGGTCAGCGAGAGAGACAACAGAAGGCGTAGCAAGCGGCGTGAGCACGGAACGGTCGCGGAAGAAGCAGGCAGAAGCACCGGAGTCGAGAGTGAAGGACAGCGAAGCAGTGGCGGAGGCCGGGAACGGAGCCGGTGCAGAAACTAGGCTAGGCAAACTAGGCAGTCCTACGCCTGACGCAGCAGGGGAGGCTAAGCTACACAATGGTGCAACACCTAAACTAGAGTACACAGGGTAATAAGATCCAGCAACACTAGAAGCGTCAGAATACAAGGAATGCAAAGCAGCACCTATCTGATGCATGCCTTACTCAAAGATCGGCACGCCCTGGAGGAGCAGGCTGTGCCAGTCGGGTAGGTCCGGGGCCGGGCCGAAGCGACGACGAAAGAGATCGTAGAGGCGGCGGAAACAGCGGGCGGTCGGGTGCGGGCGGCGGCACAGTGCCGCGAAGAGGCCCGGTCTAAAACTGGTACTGGCAAGTGACAGCACCGGAGCCGCCGGTAGACACCGAGCTACGCGGGCCGCCACCCCCGCCACTACCTCTGGAGGTGCCGGGCCAACCAGGCGGGAGACGGGCCCACAGCTGCGGCGACTGCTGCTGGGACGGCGGGTGCTGCTGGGACGGCGGCTGCTGCTGGGGCTGCTCCTGCTGTGGCTGGGGCTGCTGCTCCTGCCCACCGGTGGTAGTCCCCTCAGGCGGACTACCGTCACGACCACCACCACCTACGCCACCACCCCTACCTCCCTGGCGACCACGGCCACCGCGGCGTGAGCGCTGCTGTGGGTGGACCGCAGCAGCCGTCTCGGTGAGAGGGGTCGCCGTGGCGACCGCAGCCGAAACGTCAGTGAACGTGCACTGGGAGGGGGCACAGCCGTGGAAGATAGAGACTGCCGGCGCACCGCTCGACTGAGTGATAGTGCGCTGGCGAGTCTCGATCTCGGTGAGGGTGTTGACAAAGGCGGTGAGGGTGAGGTCACCCGGGTGCTGGCTAAGGAAGTGATCGCGAGCACTAGCGAGGCGGTCTGGCAGGCGCATGGCGATAAAATAGAGCGTCATGCAGAAAGGGGGGGGGGGAGCGCAGTGAGCTGGGCAGCAGTGCTGGCAGTGCGATAGTGGGCACGCAGGTGAGTGGCAAAGTCTGCGACGGTAGGGAAGGCTGCAAGGTCTGGGAACAGCATCGGGAAAAGCAAGCGGCCAGCAGAAGCAGATGCAGGTGTGGAATAGCGAGCAATAACGGCGTCTAAGTAAGCTTTGGCCGTCTCAACAGTAGCAAAACGCGAGCGCTCAGACACAGGGAGGGCGTGGCTAATAGCAACCTGAGCGACTGCATCGCGGGAGTCCCAGACAGCACAGGCAAGCGCAGCAGTAGAGAAGGTCTCACGGTCATCAGAGGAGGGGTCAGCAGGGAGGGGAGCGGGTGCGGGGCGGCGGGGGAGCAAGCCATCGACATGGACAACCTAAGAGTGGCCATCGTGGCGCTGATTTGTAAGGTGGCGGCGGAGATCGGAGAGCCAGGCGGTGAAGTCAACCGCATGGCCCTCGGCGTCCAGTCGGAGCACGAAGTCAGCCATCGTGCAGGGTCAGCGGCACAGCTCCACAGCTCCGCAAGAACACAGCGACGCAGGGACACGGCAGCAGCACTCTCCAGCACGGCAGCCGCGAGGCGCCCCAGCACCGGGGAGCAGGGTAGACGGAGCCCGAGGTGGCACAGCAGGCTGAGCAGACACGAAGAGTGGCCGGGCGGGCAGTGGGAGAGGCCTGGCTGGCGCGACGGGGCCAGGCAGGCGCGGCGGGGCCAGGCAGGCACGGCGGGGCCAGGCAGGCGCAGCGAAGCCAGGCAGGCGCGGCTGGGGCCAGGCAGGCGCAGCGGGGCCAGGGAGGCGTGGCGGGGCCAGGCAGGCGCGGCGGGGCCAGGGAGGCGCGGTGGGGCCAGGCAGGCGCGGCGGGGCCAGGCAAGCGCGGCTGGGCCAGGCAGGTGAGGCGGGACCAGGCAGGCGCGGTGGGGCCAGGCAGGCGCGACGGGGCCAGGGAGGCGCGGCCGGGCCAGGCAGGCGCGGCGGGGCCAAGCAGGCGCGGCGGGGCCAAGCAGGCGCGGCGGGGCCAGGGAGGCGCGGCCGGGCCAGGCAGGCGCGGCGGGGCTAGGGAGGCGCGGCGGGGCCAGGCAGGCGTGACGGGGCCAGGCAGGCACGGCGGGGCCAGGCAGGCGCGGCGGGGCCAGGCAGGCGCGGCAGGGCCAGGCAGGCGCGGAGGGGCCAGGCAGGCGCGGAGGGGCCAGGCAGGCGTGACGGGGCCAGGCTGACCGCGACAGGGCCAGGCGGGCGCGACGGGGCCAGGCAGGGCGCGACGGGGCCTAGCAGGCGTGACAGGGCGAGGCAGGGCGCGACGGGGCCGTAGCGGGCGCGACGGGGCCAAGGAGGCACGACGGGGCCCAGGGGGGGCGCTAGGAGGCGTGACGGGACCCAGGAGGGGCGCTAGGAGGCGCGACGGGGCCCAGGAGGGGCGCGACGGGGCTAGGAGGCACGACGGGGCCCAGGAGGCGCGACGGGGCCCAGGAGGGGCACGACGGGGCTAGGAGGCACGACGGGGCTAGGAGGCGCGACGGGGCTAGGAGGCGCGACGGGGCCCAGGAGGGGCGCGACGGGGCTAGGAGGCACGACGGGGCCCAGGAGGGGCGCGACGGGGCTAGGAAGCGCGACGGGGCTAGGAGGCGCGACGGGGCCCAGGAGGTGCGCGACGGAGCTAGGAGGCCCGACGGGGCCCAGGAGGGGCGCGATAGGGCTAGGAGGCGCAGCGGGGCCCAGGAGGGGCGCGACAGGGCTAGGAGGCGCGATGGGGCCCAGGAGGGGCGCGACGGGGCTAGGAGGCACGGCGGGGCCCAGGAGGGGCGGGGGGCGCGTCGGGGCCTAGCTAGGGTACGGGCGCGAAGCGGTAGGTGGGGGATTCTAACCTACGCGTGATACCATGTTAAAGTGAGAAGTGAATGATAAACTAGAAGAGAAACCTAGAACAAATACTAGTTGGTTGTACTCACTAGGAGCATACCTCAGTCTAGCCTATAACTTCTACATAGCTATTATGTATAAGTTGACAGAGGGCGCTAGCGCGCAATACACTAGCACGAAACGCGTCCACGCTAGCGTGCAACGTGCCGGCGCGCTACGCGCTAGCGTGCAACGTGCTGGTGCGCTACGCGCTAGCGTGCTACCATCCAGTATGGTACGTGCCAGCGTGCAACTCGCCATCGAGCTAGGCCACTGCGCGCATGGCGCCAGCACACAATGGGCTGCAGCCCCGAAAAACGACCTCAAAACTAGGTCGTAATGGTGCCGCCGTTTTTTTTGTTTTAGAGATGCTACAAGCCCTACAAACAAGCTAGCCGCTAGGGAAGTGATGAGCATACCTTAGATGTAAGAGGGGACGCAGTAGGAGATGTTGCTAGCAAGAAATAGGTGAAGAGCTGGCAAGAGAAAGAGAGAGATGAAACCCTAGGATTGAGGGCCCACATTGCAAATAAAAAGGTGTACAGTGACGAAAAAAACTGTCCGGATGTTTGGCATTAATTAGGTTTTTTAGGCTTTTCGACCACGGTACATAAAGTCTTAATGTTTAATGGTGGTACGCTTTTGGAGGGGCACATAGTGGATGTGTTCACAGCACTTACGTCCATAGTAGTGCACTGCATCTAACTTAGTGCCAAAAGTTATACAAGGGGGTCATCCGGACAGTTTTTTCCCGGGACAAAGCATAAACTTCCGAATAGGTTTCTAGTACCTAGTACACCGACCCTTGGCCTTGATCACCAC